AGTCTTACACTACTGCAACTCAAGCATGTGTAACATCTGTGTGTGCAAGACCTTGTGCACCGGCATTAGGTATCCAGCACATTTCTGAGTAACAGCATTTAAGAATCTCCTTGGAGCCTCTCTGCAGCAGAAATTCACATGATGCAATTCCCCAGTCACTATAACCGATTTCAAATGGTGCTAGAAAATAGTATTGACTCTGAACACCAAAAGAAATCAGTCATCCTCTAAAGGGGTCACTGAGAAATGTTGCAAAGAAGAACAAGTCAAGTATATTATATTTACAGCCATTAAGTAATCATCACACCACTACTGTCATTAGACAAATATTATACACATTATTATTGATGTCTAAATGGAGTCACAAAGATGTCTGGGTGCAAATTTTCAGAAGTACTCACTGTGTGTGCCTCAAATTTTGTATAACTAACTTTAGCCATCTCAGCCAAAATCCTTCAACCCAACTCTGATATTCTATGATTCTAACCCCGGGTGCCGAAATTAAGCACCGTAATCCATATTTAGCCAACTAAATGAGTGACCTAATTTTCATAGATACTAATTCCGGCAGCCTCCATTGACTATGATGGGAACTATAGGTGCTCAGAACCCATGAAAATCAGTTCACAGGTGGCTAAAGGCACAAAATTTAAGACCTTCCTCCCAAGATGAGACAACTCTTGAATATTTGCATCACAGTCACACAGTGAATCAGTAGTAGAGTTGGGAACAGCATCTAGATCTACTGACTCCCATATTACATACACAAAGTCATTTCAATCTCTTCAATAAATAAGATACAGATTATTTTACAAGGGCAAAATAAGAGCTAATAAATTTAACAGTATCCATGGAGTTCTGGCAAGTGCTCATTGCAATAAAGAACATGGAACAGATGAGGTTCCTGTCCTGAAGAGTTTACAATCTATGATAACACTGGATGTATCCTATCATAGCAGAAACAACAATGACAAGTTATTTCCAGTATGCTGTGTTGTAATTCCACATGTCCCATTTTCACCACTTGTAAACAACATTCCTGCCTCCAAGAGTTCACAGTCTACAAACATTACAAATATGCTGTTGCTCAATATTGTGATAGTGCAATTTTTGTCTGTGGAATTACAAACTGGGGTTGTGCTCACTTGGTTCAGCTTAACCATAGACGCTGCAGTCACAGGCGGGTGGGAGACAGACAGTACACTCAGATCTAGTAGCTATATCCTTTATTCAAAGCATGTGTCATAGGCCTTGATCTTCTTTTTCATATACCATCAAGGTCTCCCAGAATTCACTTCCTTCGCTGATGGAAGGGCAGCCATTCTTCCTCCAAGAACACTGATTTCAAATGGTGCTAGACACGGAGTAGTTAAATCTAAACCACCATATGAAACCAGCTTCCTGAGGGAGCTTCAGAGAGTTTTCATCTTAGATGAGACTTCCTGTTACTACAGTGAACTTGATATGACCTAGAAAACAGGCACGTACAATTTGTTTTGCATTTATTTCCTTTACATTAAAGAGATGGCCATTTTTAATATTCCTTCCTCACTCTGGATTGATCCATTCAATGCAGAATTATGTCCCATTTACACTGTTAACAATGCAGACAAGAATCACTGATAGCAAAATGAATGCCCATGCTGCAGGATTCCATTACTCAAGACCTGTGAATGTCTATCAGGATTTCATTATGTGCTGGATTAATACCGAAAGACTGATCTATAGCCTTGCCCCATTATTTTCCTCTTCTCCTCATGCTTTCCGCAATCCACGTGCCCACAGCTTCATTATCACAAAATGTGTTAATGACACTGGCATTATTGCAGATCTTCACCATGGTGGTGGCAAACGTGTGAACCTAAAGGTGTGGAATATCTCCTGTCAGAGGCTGAGTTCACTCAATTCCCAATGGCTCCACAGGTGATAGTAACAGCAAGAGCACTAGTGTGGACTGGGGGCAGCATATTAATTTGCTTTACACAGAGTAATATGACAGAATCAAGAGACAGGATTACACTAGTGCTCTTACCCTTGCTAGAGCTGAACCAGTGTTAGCAGTAGTAGGAATTTTTAAGGAAAAAAGTGTAGGAACAAGCCTGACAGAACACGGCTGTTGGCAGCTGGGCTCAAGCAGATGTCCTGAGAAGTGTGGGCAGGGATTTCTTCTTAGAACAGTGGTAGACAACTGTGTTACAGATTACTTACTCCCTTAGAGTTGATCCAAATTTTGTCCATCTAACCCAGTTAGAACAAACTTGTTTGAATTATGTCCATACAGCAGCTTTATGCACAATACAACTATGCACTGATCACATACGTGGATCCACACAGACCACACTTCCTAACGATGTCTGTACTGATGCATTCTGGGAACAGCTGGGCAGCTGTTTCATAATGCATCAGCAGAGGAATAAGTTACCCAGAGGATATGCACACAGCATGGCAACAGCACCCTGTGGGGCAATATTTGGCCGGTTTGTTACCACGTACAGGTAGCTCAGAGGAACGAGGATTGGCCAAACAGGTTATGCAGGCAGGCACAGTTAAAAGAGTCCCATCTGCACAGCAAAACAACGGTGTTAACAAGCAAGACAACAATGTACCAGTCTAGGCCTCTTGCAAGAGTGCACCATAGTCTGTCACCATGGTTACTAAAAGAATTATAAACCATAGCTTACGCACAGCTGCCACACACCATGTTTAGAGGAAACCATGCCACTACCTGGTTATCAACTCTGTGAAATGTTGTAGCATTGACACAATTTTAGTACAAGGTTTTCAGACAAAAAAGTGCCTGTTCGTAAAAATCAGAGAACCCATAACATAAACTTGCTAAGAACAACTGGATTTAAACATGGTTATAGATTGCTCCCAGGGTTCTGCTCCCAAATCTACCATCTGTACAGGGCCTGGATACAAAATGCTAACAGTTAACACAGTTTAAACCCTGTAGACAGGTGTTCTCAAAACATGTTACAGAGCCTTGGGCTTTGCTATGGCACAATTCATTAACAGAGCTAAAACATAATTTGGTCCCTTCTATGCTGTTAACACTGAACTGAGTTTTAACTGCTTTTGGCAGTACCGTGCTGTAACCAGGTCTCACAACACAGCACTTTCATAGTGTGGAAGGGACATAAGTATGGACAGGATCTACAGTGGACCAACCCAGGGGCACACAGAGACAATCCAAGGCCTTCAGACAAAAGTCCCTCTTCACACTGGTCAGGGAACCATGCTAAATATCTAGTTAGTTACATCTGCGCTGTAACTAGCATGATTCTGCACCTAATATTGACAGCTCCTAAGGGTACGTCTACACTACCCGCCAAATCGGCGGGTAGCGATCGATCTATCAGGGATCGATTTATCGTGTGTAGTGTAGATGCGATAAATCGATCCCAGATCGCTCTCCCGTCGACTGCTGAACTCCAGCTCGGCGAGAGGCGGAAGCAAAGTTGACGGGGGAGCAGCGGCTGTCAATCCCACGCTGCGAGGACGCAAAGTAAGTGATTCTAAATCAATCTAAGATACGTCGACTTCAGCAAGGCTATTCTCATAGCTGAAGTTGTGTATCTTAGATCGATCCCCCCCCCCAGTGTAGACCAGATCTAAGAGGGGTAATCCTTAAAGATGGAACACCTCGCCATCCACCTCACCATCCAAGAGGAATTCCAAAAGACCTGGGAGAAGAGCTTAGATCATATGTCAACAGAACCACACTGTGTTATAAGGAAAGGGTAACAGGCTTATGACATAACATGATTATGACACTGATTATGACATCTTGTCCATGCAGGCAAATCCAAGTCAATATGGTGTCATACATAGTAAAATGTTGATGGGGCTTAAAAGAGGAGGCAGGTAGTTGAGCTTATCAGTAAGTGTAACCCCCAGAGAAAGTGTTATTCAAACAGCAGGATTTGGGTGTCATTCTGTTAACAATGTTTGCATGTGTAAATTAACTTATTTGAAGAAAAAAAATCTTTTAAGTGTTGTAATAGTGACTCTGAATATTTCCAGAGCATTGATAATGAAAAACATTCTCAAATAAAGGCTGTAAATTCAAATATGTAATAAAAGTACAGAACAATTATCATGAGATAATCAGATAAAAGAGATGCTGGCCCATGATATGCTCTAATAACTAAGCGTCCAGGTAAGCTGAGAGGTGCTAACCCCCAATCTATCAAGAAACGACTTGCCTCCTTTCACAGCATTAAATCCAGGAAAAATGGCAAGAGAATACTTGTCAGAGGTTAAAAGACATTTAAGGGCATATAGGAAACGAAAAGGTCTAGTGGAAAGACTTTAAAGCAGCTGTTTGGGAGTCAGAAGAGGGAAAGTTCACACCCAGGATTCACAGAACTAGGTAAAACCTCAAGATGGGGAGTCTTCCTGGTTATATTTTTTCTTGGTGTAAACACTATTCTTTAATCTCCAAGAGTAAATGCTAAGAAGGAGATTTGCTGATGTAGGCCCTGTTCTTAAAAGACATCAGCACGTACATAACATTATTTGACTTGTGGGATTATTCACATGAGTAAAATTATGCACATGCTTAAATCAATCCAGGATTAGGGCCTAAAACTGTTTTGTTTTTGTTGCTGAACAATTCCACTAATTCACATGTGATTAGATAAGTGAATAGCCAGTCAGAAGCATTCAAGATCTCTATAGTGAGGCATCCCTTCTACCCCTTGTAAAAGAATGCCTGTGGTAAAAAGTTCAAAATAAAATGTGACCCATCAGTTTATTTTTGCTAATGCAAACAACAATTGTGGGCATTATAAAATGTGACTCCAAGATTAATCATAGAGAACTTTCTCTGGTAGTGACTTGGAAAGCTTTTCCAAAAGGAGTAACATTTCCGTATTGGAAATTCCTAAAAAATGAGTTTTATTACTTCCTTTTCATACACTTCCCTAATAGGAGATGTGTAAATGTACTTTGCTGGAGCTTTACGTATGACAGCTTTAGTGGATCCACCCATGAGATTGTGAAAGAACAAGTCAGCCTATAATTTTCAGACAATAGCCTGTAAGTACTTTATGTCAGACAAATTGTTCAAATTATTTTAACTTTTTTTTTTACTTCAATTTTGTTTGAAATGTGGAACTGGTGAAAGATGTCAGATTGACAACCCTGGAGAAGTCCTCTATTCACAGAACAGATACAACATAGGAAGTGGTAGTGTCAGTTTTCCACACAATGCCCCACCAGTATAGCTCATCCTTGACCTGCAGGCAGAATCCCTATGCTCTTAGGCATTGTCTACACTACAGTGGAAATTCAATCTAAGCTACGCAATTTGAGTTACGTGAATAGCATAACTAAAATCGACATAACTTAGATCTACTTACTGCGGGGTCCACACTATGCGATGTTGACGAGAGACGCCCTCCTGTTGACTCCCCCTACTCTTCTCGATCCGGTGGAGTACAGGAGCTGTCGGGAGAGTGATCTGCAGTCGATGTAGTAGGTCTTCAGTAGACATGCTAAATCCACTGCTGATGCATAGATCACCACTCGTCGATCCTCCGGTAAGTGTAGACAAGCCCTCAGTCTCCGGGGTCATTATGAACATGGCCCTCCACTGAGATACCAATTAATGTTAAGTGGAGTGTTTGTTCTGTGATGCCAATCTGTCCACTATGACACAAACTGAGACCATGGAGTGATTTCACAAAAACCTTCTGACACTAACAATTCTCAGTAACTGCGTATTTGGTTTGGATTCAAACCACTAGAGGTAAAAAGGTTCCATATCCCTTCATCAGTTCCCTGAGCCATCCATTCCCATCACTTTCACCACCACTTGCTTAATACCCTCTGACTAATAAGAAAGCTCATCAACGGTGTGAACTGTTGTTCTTTTTCCTCCAGTCAGAACACAAGTGTGAGGCAGTATTTTTAATTGGCTAGGGTAAGTGAGCATTTACAGGGGAACATTCTATTCTTAATGTGGGGGCAAGACTTTTATGATTCATGGGGTGAGGCACCCACCCAGCCACCTTACCTCTCACCAAGATGACGTATCTGTTGCTGGTGAGGTATGTCTGAGAAAACCGAGACAAAGCTTAGTCTTTCTTTAAAATAAGAAATAAATCATGGCAATAAAATTCACAGTGGCAAGTGAAACAATTTCACTCAGTCAGGGCCAAATCGTACAGCCACTCCTCAGGCAAGTCACTGGGAATGCAACTAGAGTAAGGATGAGAGTTTCATTTCACAATGAACTAAGCATCTTCAATTGCCATGAAAGCCAATGGGCCAAATCAGGGTTTCACTACTCAGGTTTTACTTAGTCCTAACTTAAAGCAAAACTTCCGGGGTTGGGTCCTAAGACTTTCCTTTGTTTTTGCTACTTGAACAATTCTACTATTTTACAGGTGGTTACATAAGTTAATTAGGGTAAACAGCAAGAAGCAATCAAGACCTCCACAGCTTGCTGTGGGAGATCAGGGTTTGGGTCTATATGAATAGTCAGAAAGAAAAAAGTGTTTTGGTAACAAAGCTAAAAGTCATTTTGGGGGATTAGAATGACATGACAAACCATGTTAAAAATTTCTAGACTCGTACAATCTCCTTGCCTCTCATGTCCTACATGTAAGTGCACAAAACAGTTATCAGTTAAGGAGTCTGAGAAATGTTTAGGAACCAGCAAAACCTTGTTTCCAAAAAACAGCCCTACATTATGGGCCGAGGTTTTCCCCTAATCAGACTTCCAATGTACCTGTTATGTAAACACAGGGCATATGGATTTCAGGACTGCAAAAGAGTCTCAGAATATGTAACCCAAAAGCTGATTGTAAAAGCTGCTAATTATTCAAAATATTATTCAAACTGACATCAAAGGGAGCTGCGGGGATGCAGCACAAATGAAAATTAGTCTCCAATGTGTACAATTTTCTCTGTGCGTTTCTGGAACAATCCGTTACTGACATCAAGGCTCAACCTCAGCATTCAGAAAGCATCTAAAGCTGATTGAGCTTTTATTCTCGTTTGTGGTGTGAGCTGAAATGCAGCTTCATAATCCTCTTTCCCCCCAGTGGTCACATACAGAATGTAACGATTTTAGCTGTTGCCTCTGTGTTTTGAATATAAAACGGGGAGGGTTTATTTGGGTGTGAAGTGGAGATACAGGATTTTAGACCATGTTTACTGCTCCTCTTTGGACCCCCTGGTCCCCAACCCGTGAATAATTCACACTGGTGACTGGAAAGTCGGAGAGTTTGCCATTGCTCTTTCAACTGGGGATAATGTGGAGTCTGCACATCCAATTGTGAACGAAGTAGCTGGTTTGGCACACAACCCATGGATCTCAGAGGACTTGTCTGAGGCATGGGTCACTGGTGCAGCTGACCCTGGCCTGTACATTGGCTCCCATCCCCATATAACCTGGTAGAAGTATCGCTGTGTAAGCAGAGGGTATCATTGGGCACTAACAAGAGTCCTCTTGAGAGACAAGCTGACTTGGATTTACTCTGGGTCATGTTTTCTGAAGCCTAATGAGGAAAGTAGAGACCCTAAAAAAAAAAGAGGCATATTTATTACAGCAGGTTCTAGGTAGTAAAACATTGATTTAGCTGTCTTCAAAACAGAGTCCTTAACAAATGGATTATGTGTTACTGAAAACCCATATACATTCTGAAGGGGAAAAAAAGATGGTTTGCACTGAGATCCAAATTCAAACATTACAACCACAAGTATTATTGCAAGAAATAACATTTCCTACTTCCATAACTCCGTAGAAGCATTAAGCTCTGCAACACTCTTGTGAACTAAGTATTATTCTTTTTGTTTTATAACTGGGGAAAAATGAGACAGAGAATGGTGAAGTAGTATAACAAGGCCATACAACAAGTCACTGCAAGAACCAGGAAGGGGTACTGGAGCAGTAAAGGTGCCATGGGCTTCCTGGTCCTCTTACCTTGTATCACTATCTGTCTAGGTTCTCATACCACACATATTGTCACAGTATCAGACCACTTTGCTTTCAAATGCACTCTCTGGTAAGCTGAAGGAGCCGTGCTGGTGGTTTCTGGACGGCCCTGTAATTAGCACTGCTTGGCTGGACAGAGGGTCACTAAGACAAGTGTTGTTAGAGTGGGAGTGGCAAATGTGGGGTACCGGAGATCCTGTAAGATTCCCTGAAAAAACAGTGGCAGTTCCTTTCCAATGCTTCCTAAGGCTCAAGAGTAAAACAATTCTTCACAACAGTGCTCAATACAGAGATAAAAAGCCAATTTGTTACTTCATTTGTACCTTACCCATCTCTTAATTACTGCACCAATAAAATTCTCACTGACACCTCCCATAAATATTCTGCGGTCTCCTGTTTGGGACTGGGCACAAACCAATGGCCATTTCAAAATCTGATTCCTCTTTATTTTAAAAAACTTCCTTAAACAAAATGCTGTTGATATGTAAAGTTTGGTGGGTCTCCAGTGCTAAAACAGATAGCCATGTCATGAAACACTCAAGAACCGCACTCACTGGGCAGTGGACTGTTTTGCACCCACTAGTGCCTCCTTTACTCTGTAAACTCAAAGCAGGGACTCTTGATTGTTTGGCACCTCTCCATTACCTATCGGGCTAGGTTCACTAACACTGCTAAATAAATAGCCATCCTAATTTTTCTGCCAGAGATAGTTAAAGTAGACCCGCAAAGGAAAAAAATGCCCTTGTGCACTGTTTTTGTGAGGCTTTTATGGTGGATAAGGAAGGCCTGCAAGGTTTTTTTTCCCCTAAGAAAAAAAGTTCATATTTTTTCTTAATTTTTTATTATTAGAAATTCAGGTCATGACTATTTCGGCAGACTCTATGATTGTAGAGCTAGTAAAATGATACCTTTCAGTCTGTTGTGATGTTAAACAAGTAAGAGAGCAGGAGAGATTTTATTGAGATGTTTCAATATATTTGTTTTTATTAACATCTATTTAAGTCCAATGGCTGCCAAACACTTTGGAGAAAGGATCTCTTCATTAAAAGATTCCAACACTCCCGTCCCTTCTCTGAGGTGTGATAACTCAAAAGGGAGGCAAAGAAAAAAAATCAGAAAAATGCCTTTAAAAAAAAACCCCAAACCCTTTCAATTGTTCTTCAGTACTCAGAGAAGCAAAGAAAGGGCACAAGCCCAATTTTTAAAAGTCATATGCTTCCCCTCTCACTATGCAGCACAGTGTCAAACACAAGGTACACCAGACATATTCAGATTATCTACTTTCTATTTGGAAACAAAATCCACACAGAGGCTATGCTCTTCTGATTCTTAAGAATAACAAACTATTTACCTTTCAGTTCGTAGCAATTTGTAGACAGGTTTCCCCCCCGTGCAATATGCTCTCCTTTTGGCACACTCAGGATATTCTCACAAGGTTGGACCTGGAATTTACATAAGGGATTATTCAAATGAATGCCTGTAGCTTTCACTCTAACTTTCTCCACCATAAAAACAGAAAAATCCACATTCCCACCCTATATTTCTACCTGATCTCTTCCTTTATTCCTAAATCAGGAAGCCTGCCAGTGCCTCTTTGATATTCCATATCTCAGCACATAGGGTGAGGCACATCCTATGATAATTGCACTTTTTTTCTTGGAGATCAGAATACATAGATCCATCAATCATATATATATATATATATTCTCAGCTCAGACATTCTTGCCTCTTTGGGTTAGGTCAATCTGTGAAGTCCAAATCACAGAATGACAGTTGAATAGCTTGGTTATTCTGGTTTGTTATTTTGGTTTTGAAGGTAATGGGGCACCAGCTATACCACAGGAGAACAGAACTGTCAGATACATGGATGAACATGATTTGTTGGTGAAGAGTCAACATTATTTCTGTAAAGGGCAATCAGGCCTCACCAATTTACTAGAATTCTTTGAGGGGGTCAACAAGCATGTGGAGAAGGGTGATACAGTGTATTGAGATTTTCAGAAAGCCTTTGACAAGATCCCTCACTAAAGGCTCTTAAGCAAAGTAAGCTGTCATGGGATAAGAGGAAAGTTCTTCTCATGGATAAGTAACTGGTTAAAAGTTAGGAAACAAAAGGTAGGAATAAATTATCAGTTTTCAGAATGGAGAGAGGTAAATAGTGGTGTGTCCCCCACAAGTCTGTTCTGGGACCTGTACTGTTCAATGACTAATAAATGATCTAGAAAAGGGGGTAAACAGTGAGGTGGCAAGATTTGCAGATGATACAAAGCTACTCAAGATAGTTAAATCAAAAGCAGACTGCAAAGATTACAAGGCGACCTCTCAAGACTGGGTGACTGGGCAACAAAATGGCAGATGAAATTCAGTATTGATAAATGCAAAGTAATATACATTGGAAAACATCATCCCAACAATACATTAAAACGATGGGATCTAAATAAGCTGTTACCACTCAAGAAAGAGATCTTGGGAGTCATTGTGGATAATTCTCTGAAAACATCCACTCAATGTGCAGCGGCTGCCAAAAAAGAGAACAGAATGTTGGGAATCATTAGGAAAGGGATAGATAATAAAACAGAAAATATCATATTGCCTCTATATAAATCCATGGTACACCCACATCTTGAATACTGTGTGCAGATGTGGTCG